ACATAATCATAAAATGGAGTTCATTTTCAAAATCTAGGGCTCCGGAAACATAAGAATACACTCTTATGTCGAATAAATCTGAAAAACTGAAAATTGAAATATGATGGGATTTTAGGATTCTTTTGGTTTTATTCCAGAGGGAATTATCATGAGCAGAGAGTGTGGTGAGGTAGGAGTTGAATGATCGGGATCTGAAGGTGGCTAATTCTTGTTTTAATTTTTTACAGTGATAATTGTAGGAATGGCGGTCGGCGGGATGTCTGGTGCGTTGCCATAATAATCTGGCACGGCGTTTTATATGGATTAGGTCAAGGAGGTGTTGAGATAAATTGGGTTTCTTGAGGATTTTTGAGGAATGATCAGGAGAGGAAGCCGTCCATACTGCTTCCTGGATTTTAGTCGTAATGAAATGAACAGCATTGTCCAGGTCTTCGGAGTTTTTCAGGGTTGCTCTGAGGTCAATTTTATCAGAGAGGATTTGATGAAAGAGTTTCCAGTTAACTGGGTCTCTGATGAAGGATGGTGGAGAGAGTTTAGGAATACGAGCTAATGATACTTGGAATATTAATGGGCTGTGGTCTGAGGAAAGCTCATTAAAACGTGCAAGGGAATGGTGGAGGGTACCTAAACCTTTGTGGATAAAGAAATCGAGGTTATCGGGATTGTGGTTAGGGTCAGTGGGCCAGTAGGTAGGTGAATTGGGAGGAAGGAGGGTAAAACATTGGGAATTGAGTGCAGACAGCAATGTTCGACCATGAGAATTCGTGCTTCTTGAACCCCATTGTTGATGCTTGGAATTTAAGTCTGCAACCAGGATGAAGTGGTTTCCTAAGGAATTTAGAAGAGAGGGGAACTGGACACTGGAGATGGAAAGGTTAGGAGGGCAATATGCTGATGCAAGGGTGACAGGAAAGGAAAAGGTTTTGATTTCAACTGCAGTGGATTGTAGGAAATCGTGATTAGGCAATGGAAGTATGTGATGAGAGAGGGATTGATGTACGATGAGAGCAGTACCGGCATGTGCTCTACCGTCAGGATGGTCTGTCCGATACGTTAAGTACTGTGGTATTTTCAAAAGCTGTTTTTTGGTCAGTCGAGTTTCTTAATTAGGGCTACATTAATGTTCTTGTCTAATAGTAAGGCTGTTAGTTCGTCTGTGTGATTTCTAACACCATTTGCATTCCATAGGAGAATGGATATGGGTTTGTTGGAAGTCATTTAAGGATTTTTCAAAGGAGGAATGAGATGAGATACCAGGTTTGTAAGAAGTGATATCAGTGGTGTGACAAGGGATTTAAATTCGGTAAGTAAGGATGTCAATAAACTATTAAGATCTGTGGCATTAGACAGTGGGAGAATGTGAGGGATTTGATATTGGTTAGGTTGTTGAGGTTTAGGTACATTAGGAGGGATATGATATTAAGGTAGGGATTGAGTTGGTTGTTCCGGCAGGACCTCGCATTCATTAGTCGGGTCTCTACTTCCGAGTAACTTAGCAAAGGAAACTTTAGAGTCCACGATTTTAGCGGGTCCTCTTCTTTGTTTAGGTGTAGCATTGTGGTTCCGGGGCATGTATCTAGCTTTGAGGTTTTTGTAGATTTCATAACCTTTATAGTTGGCCGGATGACCCGCCAAGCATAGGGCGCAGACTGCAGGATCTTTTATTGATTTGGTACATTCACCAGATTTGTGTGACTCGCCGCACTTCACGCAGCGCGGCATGTGGTGGCAATATGACTTAGTGTGGCCGTTTGCCTGGCAATTGTGGCACTGGACGATTTCTTTTTTCGGATATGGTTTTTCAACCTTTACAATGGTATAGTATAATCAATGTATGTCATATATTTTTTCCACCCCTGGTGTTGGCTACAAATCCACAAAAAATAAGGGCAGTGGAATTTTAGTTTTTACTCCTGGCTGGTCTCTATTTTCTTTCAGAACGTTTGTTATTTGGCGAACATTGTACCCTAATGCCTTTAGCTCATCCTTGATAACCTCAGTTGGGGTTGAGGAGTGTAAGTTTCTTATCACCACTCTTAATGATCTATCTTCCCTCAGCTGGTATGTGTGAAAATCTGCACCTGTTTCGGTCAAATACTTGATTATTTTTCAATAGGCTTCAGGTGTGGCCGGTGTTATTTTTGTTTCACTAGTCCTGTTAAGGCATGAAAATCTATCAGACAGATTTTATTTAATTGGGTACATAACAATTGAAAATGTCTAATATTTTTTGATAAAGATCGGAGGAGGCCGTGGTTCTCTAGTTATCGGTGCAGAATCAATCTCCTCTCTGTCATTTTGAAGCATCTGGTATGGGTTGGGTATAAAAAAAGGAGACTCAGAGACCATTTGTTGTGAAGAGGTACTTGGTTGCGGTTGAGGTGTAGAATCTTGAAGTTTCGCTGGAGGAGTTCCGGGGGGTGTAGATCGCTTACTGCGACGTTTGTTTTTGTTTAGTAGTTTGACGTAAGGTTTTTGTTTAGGTGGTGATATACGAGGGGTGTAGCCAACAGAACGAGACCTCTTAGTGGGCATTACTTGATGAAAGTATCGCATCTAAAAAAAAATAAAACTTCGTCTGCGTGTCCTTAATCTTGGAGAAACAACGAGCACAGCTCTGACCTCGTCTGTGGCAGAGCCACAACTGCTAGAGTGGGGAATCTCAGACGTAGTAGATAATGGCAGATAAAGCGATAAGCCACCCCTCGGATACTGGCTTCACTGTCTATAGAATACACAGTAAATATCAACACTACTCACTATGGTATTAGTCCATTGTTGTTGCTGCTGTGTTGATGTCAGCGTTACTAGTTTTTAAGTAAAAAAAGTAAACTTTTTCAACTTAAAAAAAGAGAAACTGTGGGAGATGATGTAGAAACGTGGCAAATCAAATCTAGCGCATGCGCATGCGCAGAACTGTATGCATTTAAACTACTGATGTTAGTACAAGATTTCCTGTTGTTAGTTTGACTTTTCATTTTTTTCACTTATACATAATTTTAAGATTTTCTCCCAAAATTTTGAGTACCTACTAATATGTGTATATTTCTAATATACACTAACAGACAAAATTTCCACCCACTTGATTTTTTCATCTAATAATATTTCTGGTTTGGATTGGTCTATTGTTTTTAATGAATAAATAGGTAATCTTTTTGTTTGTTTTCAATTAGGAATGTTAATATAGAGAACAATAACCCTTAATCCTTAATTCAATGAAATGATTCTAGATTCCAATGTTTACTTTCTATGAAATCAAAATGTTTATTCAGTATCATTAGTTCACTGCCGTTTCTTGCAGCACATTTCTTAGTCTCCGGCTTTTAATTTTTTCAATATTAAGTTTAAAAATGCCTCTTAGTGCTGAGGATGTTGCACGTGGTGTGGCACATATTGATGATGGACGTTTCATTAGTATGCAGCTAATGCCATCGGAGTTCCATATGAAACTTTACGAGACGCCGTCAGGCGTTTTCGGGAAACTGGTTCTTACAATAGAAGGCCCGGTTCTGGACGGCCTAGGGTAACAGAACCACGGGATGACCGGTTTTTGACTTTGAGAATTTTACGAAACCGGCACCTTACCGTTGCTCAAGCGATTCATCAGCTCGAAGAAGTTCGAGGTGTGCAAATTTCTGAACGTACCGCTCGGAGAAGATTAAATGAGTATGGATTAATGGCTTTTCATCCAGTAAGAGGACCAGAGTTGACCAGAACTCGCAGAGTAACACGGCTGGCTTTTGCTCGAGAACACAGCCATTGGACTATGGACGAATGGAGTGCTGTACTTTTTACAGATGATTCAAGATTCGCCCTTCGATCTCCAGATGGGCGTGAAAGGGTGTGGAGAAGAAGAAACGAAAGATATGCAGCCTGTAATTTTTCCCAGAGCCAACCTTTCCAACGTGGTTCCTTAATGGTGTGGGCTGGGATTTCAATGGAGCGCCACACAGAATTGGTTGTTGTTCGTGGAGGCTCTTGGACGGCCATTCGCTATATAGATGAGATTTTGGAACCTCATGTGTTGCCTATCCTCAACGAAATCGGCGATCGTTCTATTCTAATGCACGCCCACATGTTGCCCGCATAGGACGTTCCTTCAACAGAACAATATTGAGGTTTTAGCCTGGCGAGCACGTTCTCCAGATTTGAACCCCATTGAGCATTTATGGGATAACCTCGGAAGACGAATAAGAGCGCGTGCAACACTTCCTGATACACTGCAGGACCTTGAAAGGGCTGTTCAGGTGGAATGGGCTATCCTCCAGCAAAGGGACATTTCCCGACTGGTAGGAAAGTATGCCGAGGCGTCTTCAAGAAGTAGTGAAGGCAAGAGGAGGAAACACGCGCTACTAAACGATGATGTAATTACTTTCTTTTAGAATAATAATGGTTCGTTTTTCAATTTTTTTTTTCTCTAATCTTTCTTACCCAATCACATTTTGGTTATTAAAGGTAAAAAAGATTATAAAATTCTATAAATACTAAGTATTATCTACAAATACCATGTATTATATACAAATACAACTTTTTTTACAAGTGGTGAAATATTTTTAGATGAAAACATGAAAAAATCAAGTGGGTGGAATTTTTTGTCAGTGTATATACTAATAATTACTCTTTTTTCAATGGTTTCATAGTAGATGTTTCAAAAATTAAAAAAAAAAAATTGTTCTTATTATAATATTGAATCACAAATAAACATTTCCATAGAAATGTAAAGAAATTCCTGTTGGAAAGATATAAAAAACTATTTTTTTTTTTCATGTTGATAAATTGAAAATACATAGTGCACAGAATAGATATAATTTATATTAATTATCTTGTGTTTGTCTTTATAATTAAATTAATATCCTTAAGGTTTATTAACTAAAAAATTCTATTGATTTTAGGGTGGTAAGCGAAAGTTTTGTGATGCATCACACCACATTTTTTAGTTAATAATACATTTATAAGTAAGGAATGGTATTTAAAAAATGATTATTGTTTTATTTTTTCAGATGAAGATTTTCCTTCAAATTCATTTATTACAACTCTTCCATGTGATTCATTGAAAATGAATGGAACGAATACAGCTAATTAATAACAGAAATAAATAAGATGAAACAAAAATCATAGCAAACTTAATTATTGTATAAGAAAAGGTGGTACATTCATTGCTTCTGAATGTAACATTGGGATGAAATTTTATTGATATGCTTTCCTGTGGAAAGTAAAATTATTGAATTATTTTATGTACCTCATATCATGTTAAATACTTTTTTTATATTTTATGTTAAAATTTTGTAAATATTTGTAAATTTACTGTTTAGAATTATTAATAATGAACAATAATTAAAAGAAGTTTTCATATTTCATATCCTTTAACAATTAATTTAGTTGGTTTATTTGTTCATTCATTGCTGGGCTCTACAGTTCAGGGGTGCCCATCCCCCCTCCCCCAAGATTGATGGCTCATGAACCATCCTCTCCATTATTGCTCTTCTCTTCTTAAGAACAGTGCAATTGAAAGTAGAATTTAAAAGTCATATATACTATTTGTGATCTGTTCCAGATTTTCCCTTTTCCTCTGGTTTGAAATTTTTCATTTTGATAATTCATAACCTTGTCGACATGTTCCCCTCTCAAAAATTCAAATCCTAGTCAAAATGTGCCCTCCCCCAAAATTTTAATGGGGCAATTTGTGCCATGACACCCCCTTGTGGGCACCATTGCTACAGTCCTTGAAGAACTATGGTATTTGCTTCCTGAGTCTTCTTCCTTTCATATGTTCCTGTCAGCTATAAAATGTCTTCACCACTTCATATCCATCTTCAGGTTTTATTCCACATCATCCAACCTTATTAGGCGAGGCTATCCCCACCTTCTTCCATCGCCTGGCTTTCCATTGAGCAGTTTTCTTGGCATTCTTGTAGAGTCCATCCTCTCCACATGTCTCAACCATCGCAGTCTATTGAGTTGAATTACTAAGAATATCCTATTCATCACACTCGAGCTCCTTTAGCTCTAGGTTAGACCAAACTCTCCATTGATCCTCCACTTTGATTGGTCCATAAATTTTTCTTTTCCATATGTGGGTTTTCTTTTGTTTTCTTCATTCATGTCACGCTTCCTTATGTCAGAATAGGTTTCATAATCTCTTTATATCTTACAGTTTTTGCAGCAGCTTCTGTTAACAGTACAGACATCGATTTCCCGCATCACAGCTCTTGAATCTTTTAATTCTCTATCCTCATTTCCTCTCTGGGCATCTGATCTGTTCTTGATGTCCATATGTACATGCACTTTTCTGTATTAATTTGCAGGTCGTTTTCCAACTTCCCTCAGAAATTCTTTAAGAGCACCTGCAAGTGCTCGTACAGTCCATGCTGTCATAAGCACATTGTCTGCATATGTTAAATGCTGCATCATGCAATTGTTAATTGCACCTCCCCCATTTGTTTGTAATAAAATATAGTTGGTTACCTTTTTATATATATTATTTTTTAAATTTATTTTTAATTCAGGCATGTCTGTAAACAAGTGAATTACATTCTCTTTCAGCTGTCATGGTTTTGAATTAATTTTAATTACTTCTGTAAACCTGATCATAGAATTTGGGGTAATTTGGGTAATTTGGAGTACACTTTATGTCATTTTGGGTAATTTCTGTTTTTTTTTTTATGGATAATAAGTACTTTGATTACCCCTCCTTATGCTGATTCATGTTAAATCTAGCACTGGTTTATGTTTATCATTAGGTATTCTTCTTCATTCGTTTTGTTGGTATACTTAGGTCTTCTTATTTATTATAGGAACTTTTTCTTCTTTTACTAGCTTCTCTAAAAGTAAGAAACTGATTTTAGTTTTTAATGTTGTATTTTTACCTCCTTGAACATGGAAGGAGGTTTTGTCATATTTTCTGCTGCTTCTTTTGTTCTGTTGATCTGTATATTTATGACCACCTTATTTAATAATTATAATTATTACCTTGATAATGTTTTTTATTTATTTTTTATATTGGTTTGAGGGATTGTATATTCACATATTAAAAACAAAGAAAAACAAGGAGAAAGGAACAGAGAGTTAAAGTAATCCTAAATCCACCACTCTTTATTGTGTATATTTAGGAACCAGAGGGCATAATACTTTTAAGGACATAACTTAGTGTTGCTCTAAATATTTTTAACCAGTACTAATGATGGGTATAGATAACAATTCATTTTTATAAAGTGAATTATTAACTAAAATAACCAAAATAGGAGAAAATATTCTCTTTTTTTTTCTTCTTCTGTTTTACAGAATCTATATTTTTGACTGGTCAAGGTTGCTAGTGAAGTACACTTTTATAAAAAAACAAGCAATGGTTTATACAAAAGATTTTTTACTAGAATATAAATCCACATTTCTATTTCCCTTACCCTATAAGAGAAGAGGGAATATAACAAAGTTTTTCTTCATTGAAAATAAGAAAACAGGAGTTTTATAAAACATTTTTTTAAAATCATTTATTTCTTTGATATTGCCTGTAGAAAATTTTCTAATTTAGTTTAAAAAAACTACCAGGTCATACTATGCATTTATATCACTACTAAATCCATGTAAACCATACCAATAAAATTCATTTGACATATTGTATTCTTATCTATGTTAATGGCCATTATGAAGATCTGGAGTATGGGTCAAAATATTGGCAAATTAAAGATATTTGGCTGACCCTCCACTGTCAACATCAGCGGCTCAACTACCTGCATAGTGAGTTGGGGTCTCCTCTAGTAGTTTTTTCCATCTATTCATACCTTGTGATGTCAAAATTCAATGCCGCACACTAATCAGATATCTCCTAACATTTGCGACACCAGCTCTCCACCTCAGTTTTGGTCTTCCAATACTTCTCACTCTATAAAGCTTATCTGAAATCATTTTTTAAAGAATGTCCTGTTCAGTCACTTAGGCATCATGTTATCTTAGCCTTTCTATAAAGATGATTCTCGTAATGTCTGGCTCCTTAGTCAGTATATAGAGCTCTAGGTTATTCCTTTATCTCCAATTTTCACCTATTTTTATTGGACCATATATTTGGCATACATTTTTCTTCTAGAACACTAGGAATATTTGCTCATCCAATTTTGAGATAGCCCATGCCTCAGAAGAATCATACACCAAGACAGGACTGATTAAGGTTTTCTACAGCCTTAGCTTAGTAGTCCTAATGAGAAAATAGCTTCCTATAAAAATGACTGTTGTAAATTCTGGCTCCCTAGTCAGCATTTAGATTATATGCTCTAGATTATTCATTTGTCTCCAATTTTCACCTACTTTTATTGGGCTATATATTTGGCATACAATTTTCATCTAGAACACCAGGAACCTTTTTGGTTTTCTACAGCCTTAGCTTATTAGTCCTAGCGAGAAAATGACTTCTAAAGAGGTGTCCTATCATTTTTATTATAATTCATCAACTTTTTCAAAACAACAGGTTCCTATGGTGATCCTTTCAATCTAATTGACCTTCTGACATGATATAAATTTGGTCTTTTTTTCATTTATTTTCAAACCTAGTTTCCTAGGTTGAGACCTCTAGGGCCATAAATGCAACCTTCATCGCCTGAAAGGATCTTTCCACGATCTGGATTGTCATGTTGATGATAGAGCCAGTCGCCTTAATTCCACATTCCTTTATCTCATTTTCAAGTGCTAGATAAAAGAGAAAACATATTAAGGCATCACCCTGCCTCATCCTTGTTTGGGAACAAATGTTTCTGAGAATCCTCCCTGGATATAGACCATGCAGTCAATATTTGTGTGAGGTGGATTAGTTTTCTTGGAATGTTTAGTTCTTGTATAACGCCAATGAAACTATTATAAGCTGATTTGAAATCCACAAACAGATGTCTGATTACCCTCCACTGACATCTTGATTAAATTCTATTCCCAAAATTACAATAAATACATTATTTTTTAGTTCATTATTTTTTTTTATAATTCACAGTTCAATATGTCGCATCCACAATACACTAGCTTTTCTAGTCAGCTAAACTGTTAATCCTTGCAGATTGTGCAAGATTACAGAGTTAATTCTTGATGTGTACACACATGATTTAATGTAACAGCTGTAAGTGGAAGGTCAGACATTGGTATACTTGTGGCATAGATGACCTTTACATCCTGTCTACTCATATTTTTAATATTTAACATATATGTATTGTTAAAATTAACACTTACAGATTATGAAAAGTACAATTGTATACATAAACTACCATCTTGTTAAAACTAAAGAGAAACATTTCTAAAACCTACATTTTGAGACCCAAAAATGTAATTATCGGATGACGATTAATTTCAGTTTTAAAAAATATTAGATTACTTCCTGAATCTAATGACTTTACTTTGCCGGCTTATATGTTCTACCATTTATTTACAGTAATGAATTCTAAATTGCCTAGCCATGAATAATATTCATGAAGAAACAGATTAAGATAATATTTCAACTTACTTGGATTAAAGAGGGTAACATAGTGATAAAATCTGGGTACTGATATTTTAGCCTTCTGCTAGGCAATTCAGAATTCATTACTGCAAATATGTGGAAGTGGGCACAACCAGCAGATCTTTCTGATTAATTTAAGGTAGGTGTTCCAGCAATTGTTCTAAAACTTGGTCCGAAGTTAGTGTACAAGTGCAGAAAGCTTTAATTTATTTTGGATTCAGAAATTGTCCAAATCAAATAAAATGGTAAATTGTGGAAAAATATAATTGCTCATGGCACAAAAAAAAATCAATTAATGACATTGATGAATTAACGCTAAATATGTTTTTGGATGCATATTAAAAAAAATAAAAAACATATGCACTAAATAAAATAGATATTAATGCAGCATCTTTGGCACACAGAGGAAGAGGAACATTTTTTTATGACAGAGAAGGTGACATTTTTTTATTAAGACGACAACGATATAGATCAGGAGTCTCCTAACGTTTTGGCCCATGGGCCAATATATTTTCAGCCAAATGTATTTATTTATGCTTAATGAATCCTGGTGAAATTTAATTTAAATTTAAAAAGGTGCATTTGATCAATGAGATTTGAAAGTAATTATGTTTGTATTCAAAAGAAAATTTTCAAAAAGTTGTTTTTTTTTTTGTAATTTTTTCTGTGTAAATATTTCTTTCAAATAGCAAGAACAATAAATTAACTTTTTTATTTTATTTGATTAAAAAAAGATTCTTTTTAACTTCCTTTAATCTAAGGATGACACGGGGGAGGTTATGGTGGTTATAGTGTTCTATAAGTTGGCTCAGTGTTATTTAATATAGTTTTAATATTTCTAGTTAACTTTCCTGATCAATTTCTGTCAGAAAAGGGTAACTATTTCCAAACGCTACTCCACTCGCCATCTTGGTTGAACTGGTATTATGTCCTGTGTTCTGATAACGTTTACAAAACACACCACCAGGAAACTCCACTATTGCGGAGGGGTTGTCTTGTCCCCTCCACCTTACGTTCATTACAAATAATTACCAATTGTAACCTTTACAATATATAGTACCCACCATTTTTTTTAACTTGTCGATTTCTTTGTATCTTCAATATATCGATTAACCAAACTTTATATTTTAGATGTTATTATTTACACATATTACCTACATCAATTTTTTTTACCATTATATATTACTAATATTATTTATAATTGTAGTGTTAATATATTGCCCGTTTTTGTTTTTTTAACTTCGAGATTCAGCATTATCAATGCTTTTCGCTTTCCTTATCATAAATTAAAGAAGTTTATTAACTTAAGTTTTGTTTTAATTGTGACACTTTATCTCTAATTGTACATTACCTAAGTATGTCACTATTAATACAATTAAGGAAGAATTAAACAATTTTCTATAAGGGTTTTGATGCTGGATAAGGGTTATACTTTTCAATTATATGTTACTTAAATCTTCTAGCAAGAAGAATTAAACAATTTTCTATAATGGTTTTGATACTGGATAAGGGTTATATTTTTGAATTATATGTTACTTAAATCTTCTAGCAATAAAACACATTTTCAGTCTACTGAGGTACATACTGGCATTACCAGATTCTAAGGGAAATGTTTCAGGATCATGTAGGAGAGCTCTAGCGATTCATTTAATTTAAAATAACCAAAGAAGAAAACATTACTGACATTCCTTTAAATCTGAACTTGTCAGCAACATTACGAGTTCTTAGCGATTGGTCCCTTGTACATTCCCCTTGGAACCGTACATTTTCTACATAATTAACTATGCCAATCATCGTATCTGTATGATAGACAAGTATCTTAGCAACCTGTATATATATATATAAAACGCAATGCTCCAAGAGGTATTTAGTTAAGCAGTAATCTTTTTCAAGCATTAGCTAAATTATGTCAACTTGAGCCTGTAAGATTTATAACAGATGCTTTTGAATGTATTTTTATTATCTGACCAGTTATCCCTAGCCATTTCCATTGCTGTCTACTTACATTATCTATATCTACTTTTATATTGTATTGTCTCATTAATTTTTCTGAATCCTGTCAGAATGATTTATTAGGCAA